ATGGCTCTGTGGTACGTGGCTACCTGGGGAGGATTTGTGAAGACTGTGATAGTCAGAGTGAAGCTTTTCCCTGCAACAGGAAAAAAAAAAAAAAAGGAAAATGTTACTGAGCAAAAGAAAAAAAAATTTAAAAATCCCCTGAGTAAGTGTTGAGAAAAGCAAACTCCTCATTTCTGATAGAACACTCTACTGAGCAAAGAAATAAAAATTAAAAAATCCCCAAACAAGTGTTGAGAAAAGCAAACTCCTCGTTTCTGATAGAACACCCTACTGAGCAAAGAAATAAAAATTAAAAAATCCCCAAACAAGTGTTGAGAAAAGCAAACTCCTCGTTTCTGATAGAACACCCTAGTGAGAAAANAAATAAAAATTAAAAAATCCCCAAACAAGTGTTGAGAAAAGCAAACTCCTCGTTTCTGATAGAGCTCAAACACCCTGCAAGGCACTAAAAGTTTTTTTTTTGGGGTGTAGAATTCTGGTGCTGGATTCATTCCCACCGTGGCAATTGCTCAAAGCTTTCAGGGAAAGAAAATTAATTTCTATTTAAATCATCTACACTTTGTTTGTAAAAAAGAAAAAAGAAAAGAAAAAAAAAAAAAAAAGGGAGGTTACCCCTAACAGTCAGGGTTTATCTGATATTCTGATATTCTGATATTCTGATATTCTGATATTCTGATATTCTGATATTCCTGACTCTGCTGTGTTATCTGGGATTTCTAGAGGCAAGTTGGGAAATCGAGGCTGGATTTTCCAAAAAGTGCCACGGGATTCTGAGCAGAATTTTCATTTGTGAAAATTTAAAAAGTGGGTGCTCAGAACCCCCCAGGCTGGGTGGGAAATCCCAAACTCAACACGAGATCAATTCCATCTTGTGAGGCAGAGCCCTCTGAAAATGCCCAAAAGGAATGGAAAAAAAAACCAAAAATAAAAATAAAAATAAAAATAAAAATAAAAATAAAAATAAAAATAAAAATAATAATAATAATAATAATAAATCCTTACAGAGAATGAAAACATTTCACAAAGCCACAGCAGAGGATAAATCTCGAATATTCAGCAAGAAAATGATGAAGGTTTTTTTTTTTTTTTCCCAAGTTGTTCCATTCATGGCATGGGTGTATTTTGGATTTACCCCTTGATTTATTCCTGGTGTTTTTGGTGCATTCTGCATCTTTGATAAGAGCTCAAATGATGGGGTTGGGCCTTGGCCCCTTGGGAAAATCAGGAATTGTTGAAGGAAAATTGAGATTTTTTTCCTCCCTTTTCCCTCGTTTTTACCACCTGGTTCTAACCTGAGCTTGGAGTTTCTTCCCTTCCACCCATTTTTATTTTCTGATTTAGTTAGGTCTGTAAATAAAGGTAAATTGAAATCGAAATTTCAGTAGAAATGTAAATAGGATATTAAATAGAAATATAAAAATTAAATAGAAATAGGTCTAGAAATAAGGCTAAACTTAAACAGAAATTTCAATAGAAATGTCAATAGAAATTTCAATAGAAACATAAATAGGATATTAAATAGAAATATAAAAATGAAATCGAAATAGGTCTACAAATAAGGTTAAATTTAAACAGAAACTTCAACAGAAATTTTAATAGAAGTGCAAATAGGATATTAAATAGAAATGTAAAAAATAAATAGAAATATTCAGAAATAGGAATATTTCAGTTAGGTCCATAAATAAGGGCCAAATTTCGATAGAAATGTGAATGGGATATTAAAGAGAAAGGTAAAAATTAAAGAGAAATGGCTCTATAAGGCTAAATTTAAACAGAAATTCCAACAGAAATGTAAAAATGAAATAGAAATAGCTCAATAAATGAAGCTAAATTGAAATTAAAATGTCAATAAAAATGGAAATATTAATGCCTGCCTGGAACAGCAAATTTTTCCCCTCCCCAGGAACATTTCCTGGAAATTCCATCCTTCCCCTCCCTGCATTTACCCCAGCCAAGGATGGCTGAGCTCTTGATTTAAATAACAAATTTTGATATCAACATTTACACCTCTGCTCCTCTTTCCCTGCCAGAACAACAGAAAAGGAGTCAAGAACAAAGCTGGATAAAAATTCCCTTTATCGTTGATGACAGAATCACAAATTATTAAATTATTCTGGGTTGGGACACTCAGGGATCATCCAGTGCAGCTTTCAAATGAACGGACAGAGATTTTCCTCCAAACCTCAGGTGTGTTCTGAGCTGTCCCCACATTTATAAAATTGCTCAGGACGTGCCTTGAGACTGAGCAAACCTGAGAGAATTTCAGAGGGAAAAACAAAACCACAAAGTTCAGGCTGGGCCAGGGCAGGCTCAGCTTGGACAGCAGCAGGAATTTCCCCATGGAAAGGGAGCTCAGGCCTTGGCAGGGGCTGCCCAGGGAGCTTTGGAGTGCCCATCCCTGCAGGTGGCACCTGGAGGTGGCACTCAGGGTGCCAAGGTGGCCATGGGGGCACAGGTTGGATCTTAGAGGGCTTTTCCCACTTCAGGGATTTGGGGATTTCACTCAGCTGGATGAGAAAGGCTTCTGGCACACCGGGAAGGAAATAAAACCACCAAGCCCCAAGCACAGCATTCCCTTTTCCTTTCCCACACGCTCATCAGAGCCACGGTGTCCAGGAGTCAGTGACAATGACATTGCCACTCAATGAGAGCACAGACACCGAGACCTCGAATAAATCTTGATTTTGGAGGGATGGAGAGCCATGGAGAGCTCCAGAGTGCTGAGAGCCGAGCTGAGCTGTCACCCTGTGCGTGCAGGGATGATCCACGGAGCCTCCCCTTGGAGGCAGCAAATCAAAGCTGCTGCGGGGAGAGGCTGTGCAGGAACTCGGGACAATTCCAATTTAGGTGCCACCGGTGTCCCTGGTGAGTCAAAGGATGTTTGGTGAGGAGTTTGGGATCTGTGTCACTGCTCCCTGCTCACCCAAGCACGCTGGCAGGAATTGCCTGTGCTGCGATGTCTGACAGGGAACACAAAGCCTGGCGCTCCCGAAATTGGGAGTTAATTAATTGACTCAAATGAATCCAGAACATTCACATCACCCCGAGTGCAATGGCTCTGTCAGGGAGCAGGTTCTGGCTACTCTGGTTCACGTCAGATCAGAGTCTGGATGTTGGTTATAGCCTTGTTCTGCCAGCTCCAAATTCTTCACGGAAAGGGGGATTAGATATTGGAAGAGGTGCCCAGGGAGCTTTGGAGTGCCCATCCCTGCAGGTGGCACCTGGAGGTGGCACTCAGGGTGACAAGGTGGGCACAGCTGGGACTGCAGGGGCTGGGAGGGCTTTTCCAAGCTCAGGAATTCCTGGAATTCTCTGATATTATCCCTTCCACCCAGGCTGCTCCACGATTCCAGGATTCTGCCCTGCACTGAAATGCAGGAATTTGAAATCCCCCCAGGGGCTGGAGAAGGAGCAGCTCCTCCCCCAGCAGGATCCCAGAGGTCTCCAGAATTGGGAATATCCCAGAGGATCCAAATCGTGAATCCTGGGTGACACCACGGTCACACGGAGCTGCTGTGTCCTGCCTGAGTCACCCCCGAGTGTCCCCATCGGCCCGGGGGGACAAAGAAATATTTCTAATTAAAAGTGGCTGCACTTTTAAAAAGTGGGCAGAGGGAAAAATGGAGTGAAAACTGCTGGGAAAAGAAGCCACAACTTGAATTTCTCACTTCATCCTGATCCTTTGGAAAAGCTATTGATAATAAAGGGTCATCCCAGTGGGAACAGGAAAAAAAAAATGGAGTGAAACCTTTAAAAATTTGGCTGTGGAGAGGGGAGAAAAAGGCAAAAACATGGGGTTGGTGTAATCATTGCCTTTTCGTTTTGGGCTTTGTTCCAATAAATACAATATCGTATTGACCCAAATATTGTATTACAACAAATACAATATATAAGTAAAATATTTGTGCCATTAAATTTGGTTTGGTTGTTCGTTTTTTTTTTTGTTTTTTTTTCTTTAAAAAAATTGTTATAGTGAACTATTAAATAAAAAGAAGGGGGGGGAAAAAAAAAGAAGGAAAGCAGCCAAGAATGTCTGTACTGACAAGGACAAAAGGTAGAGGTGGAAAAACTATGAAATGTAAGGGCCAAATGGAACTCAAATGACATTACAGACATTTCTATTCTATTAAGGAGAGAATTCCAGGTTGTAGGAAGAAACAGGATGATTTTATTTTGGAGGTTTGGATCACTAAATGATCCATTTTCCCCAATTTTCTGGCTCCTCACAGCATCCCCCCCCCGGCTCTCCTGCATTTCAGCATCCCCAGGGTGTCCCCCCCACACGTCCCACATCCATTCCCAAATGTCACCTCGCAGGCACTGGGGCTGATTTTTGTTGGTTCTCATCTCTGACAGCTCCAAATCTGATCAAGAAGTTGAGAAGGGCTGAAATTCGTGAATTAACTCATCCTGGGGCTGAAAG